ACAAAATATGGCCTAGTTCATTCCTGGCATTGCTCTCATCGATTCGTAGTTCTATCTCAATTTTTTCAGCCATTCCAAAGATTAGCTGATAGAGAGACAAAAAATTGAAAAATAGTTCTTCATGTTCCTCAATTGCACTTTGATCTTTGCCAGCCTTAATAAGTGAAACGGTTGAGCAGTTTAATTATGGAAACGGAAATTATGTTAACATAGAGGATTAGCCCATATCTTTCCGTAGATATTGTAAGGGCGACAGAGGGCAATAAACGATGAGATGGGCACCGTCACAACAGTGGCTTCTTAATACGTGCAATTAGTATTATTCATATGTTTTAAACTAGCTTAGTCTTATTATATTTTATGTAATGAATAGTTACTTATAATAGTGCTTTAATAGTAATTATGTAGCTTCAAATAAAAATGTTTCTTTATTTATTTATTTGATCTCATGCTTCAATAAATTTAGCTTTTGCAATATTGTATCATTCGTTTTTATTTTGTATCACATGACAGCAACAACAACAGCAGCAGCAACAGCAGCAAAAACAGCAGCAGCAGCAACAGCAGCAGCAGCAGCAACAGCAGCAGCAGCAGCAGCAACAACAACTTATCCATCAACAGCAAACGCAGCAAATTGTCCAGCATTATCAACAGCAAGGTAGATCATATAATATATATCAAAAACAAAAACTCTTATAGCTTTAAAACAAGGTAACTAATAGGATAGAAGGTAATAAAATGCAATATTTGACATTTACGTATGAAATGAAAGCTCTTATAAAATACTTTATATTCATTTTAACAAGTAAAGATAAATCCAATCATATTTCAAAAGAAATGATAAACAAATTATGCATCAAAGATAACTCCGTCTAGGTGGTTTTTTATAATGAAAGCAAATCTTACTTAAACAAAAAGCGCGGTGCATTGATTCAATATAGCTGTCTGTTTGTAATAAAAGTACATGTTAATTTCTATTGAAAGTGATATGACTATATTATACTATATTAATCACGTTTTGTATTACATAGGCATGACTCTGGGCATGCAGCAAGGCCTACCAGTGGGTTCAGTCTCCCAAACTCTGCCCATGACCGGGATGCCACCAACCATATCAATGGTACAACAGATACACCCGGTAAGTAATTTAATTATTTAACCTTACTTAACGTTATAACTTTAAAGCCGCGTTAAGAAGCAGATTAATTAGGCCAGTTGTAAAAACACATTTTGTGGTTATGTAATGTGGTAGAAACAAGATAATGGGTGCGTTTGGCAGAAAAAAGCGCTAGCAAGCGCTTATAAGCGCTGAAATAGTTTTCGGCCAGGACACGATTGCTACTTCAGTAGCGCTGACACAATCCGCCATTTTGCTTATTTAATTTGTTTGTTTTGAAGTAGAGTTTATAAGTTCTTTTGTGCAATATTAGTTTTAAGTAATATAATAATGACGTGAATAAACATATATATGTTATTAAAATTCATGATTGGTAAGTTTTTAATATGAATACTTTACAAACATATATTTAAATGAGGTTAGGTTCCCCGGTTAAAACTAACGTCGTGTCCTGGAGGAAAATAGCTACTTACGATTTGACAGCGCTTACCGCTTACGATCGCCATTTTGCTTATAAGCGCTTGCTAGCGCTTTTTTCTGCCAAACGCACCTTATATTTTTTTTAAATAAATTGTTTTATTTTGTTACTATTAACTAAGTATTCTATAACAATATTATAAATATTAAATAATGTATATGAAAATTTAGCTTGGTGGTATGGCCCAGCCGGGTACTCTAGTTGGGCAGATCAACACAAATCAAGCCGGTCAGAATGCCTCCATCGCACAGGTTCAGAACATGCAGCAGCAGCCTCAGGTGGGCATCTTTTCCGTTTTTCTTAATTTTAAACTGTTTCAGTATCTCATTTCAGCTGCTAACAATAAAAACATACAGATATAACTGAATTTCTTTTCTTCGAAATCTTAAAGCTGAGGAAGTATTTAAATAATATAGTTATTTATAGGGGGTTGTCTTTGCTGAATACGGCCCCCAGTTTTTTTTAAATTAAGAGATTTTTGTTGTCAATGCTGAGCAACCCTACGCTGATTTCTGAAATGATTTGAGAAATTCGAAGAGTCAACCGCGCTGTCTCAAAATGTGTTGGCGGATGTCACGTATCCTTGAAGGCGTCACATTTACTGTCTTTTTCTTTTTTTATAGTATTGGGTGACAAACGAGCACACAGTCCACCTGATGATAAGTGGATACTGTGGCCCGTAGACATCTACATTTATCCCCCATTAAGCAAATTCTAGTGCATTGTTACCCCTGAGGACTAAGATGGAATGCCTTGACTCCAGTAAAAAGCACAGCAGCATTAAAGTTCTGTGAGAGCGTGGTCCTGCCCCAGTCGAGCCGAAACATTCGTGCTATAACTATAATATAACTGCAGCGTGGCTCTATCACGTAAGATTTCTAATAAAAATACATTTTTTACATGCCTTATCGCTTAAATCGGCACTTAAATTTGCAACTATCTTCTTACTGGTGCGGTAGGAGATGGCTGCTCACGTCGTTATTAAAGTTAAGGCGAGCACTTAGCGAGCTATCACTAATGGCCTTTTGTCTACGATACGATTATATTTCATATATCAATATTTCATAATCGTTGAAAACCCACTAAGATGTTTGGTATTCATTCCTCACGCTCTCTTCTTGAAACTCTAATGAAACAATACAGTAGAAGGGTGGAGGACAGTGTCTTACTGAAACAGTATTACTCAAAACTAAATGCTGAATATAAAATAATTACTTATATTTTATTTACTGAGACGTCTTTTTATCGACATTTTTAGACATTGGTGGGAAGCGGCTTAGTCCAAACATCTGTTGGCATGGCCGTACAGCAACAAACCACCCTCAACCACTCCACACCCATGCAAACGGTATGTTTTTTTTTTTGTAAATTGCTTATGAGAATTATATAAACATTGTTATAATAAAATACAAAACAATACCTAGATCAGGTTACAAAACAATACAAAGATATAAATTATATGATAATGGCGTCGATTCTCAACAAATTTAAATGCGTATACTAAGTTTGCGATTGATGCACAGTATACGATTTTATAGGAAAGTTTACAAAAATTAACTAAGAAAATGGTAGTCTTTGCAATCGCGCTTAATGCATTTAACAATTTCGCGTTTTGCTTCCTCTACAAGTGTTGTAGCACAGTGTACACTCGCAAAAATAACAACTCTAGGACGAGAGACTTTAAACAGGCAGACAAGTCTTGCAAAAAAAAAAACTGAAAGGCTTCCTAAAGACCGATTTACACTTTGACAAGTACAGTAGCGAGTTTAGTTACAGGGTGGTTGCCATTAAACGGTTAAGTGGGCAGTAGCGCTCAAACAATGTCTTCGTGGCTAGTTTAGTTAAGGACATTAGTTCATAGAGTTCGTGGGAGTGTGACGTTTCAAGACTACAGAATTTTTCTGGTTTTCGCTTAAGATGCTTCTAGGATTACGTCAAGAATTAAATGATCCAGTCAGAGAAGTATTAATGGTTGTTGTTAAAGAAGTTTTTAATAATTTTCATGAGTGCAGCATCTCAAGCAGGTTTAATTTTACAATTTGAACTTCTAGTATTATATAAACATTCGTGTTCTAAATACTCCTGTACAAAATTATACGTGATATCTTCCGTCCATTATACTATTAAAACCCAATATAAAACTTATAAATATTCAATAAACAGTATAGCACAAACTTTGTGGCGAGTTTAATTATAAAAGTACAATTGTACGTTTTGGCGCGCAAACGTTGCGTCCTGTCAACTTATGCACTGAACTAAACTCGCTCGTTTACACGGACGGCGAGTTTAGTTGCGGGTGGCGGGAGACGCGCGAGAGGGCAGCACTTTGCACTTAACTCGCCGAAAAGTAGCTCGGCCGGCTATCCCGTTCAACTTAATCGTTAACTTGCTACTTAACTCGCTTATTGGCGTTCAAACGAGGTTTAAACTTAACTCGGCAGGTTCGCAAGTTAACTCGCTACTGTACTTGTCGAAGTGTAAATCGGTCTTAAAGGCTTGTGGACTTGAATTGCCTCTTGTGTTGATATGTTTATGCCAATTCTCCTCTATGGTCAGAGAAGTGATCAAATCCTGGAAACTAAACTTTACTAACTATTGGCCAATTTCAATTACCTCTATAACCTGTGAGATTATGCAGCGTATATTGAACGCCCATCTCCTAGCATATCTAAAACAGAACAGGCGCTAGACTGACAAACGACACGTACCTATACTACCTGTAACACTTGCTGCTTCCACTTGTAGTAAAATGTTCTGCGAAGCAGCTATTCACAAACTTTAGAGCCGCACTTACGTTTGGCAAGTACTACTAAACACTGCCGTCTGACATGAAATGGCGATTGGCAACGTAACAGTTTTTGCGAACTTAAATACAAATGTTGAAATGAATAACATAATAAAATAATGCTTTTTTTTAAAATTTTGTAACCTTGAGCTAACATGCTTTTGTTTCGTGGGTGGTATAACTCGCCAGTGTGTTGGAGTGTGTCATTTGTAACATTAACGTTCCGTGAGACTGTTTGTGCTACTGCTGCGTAATTCTTGATATATTAAATATATTGATATCATAATCCCATATTACTTCGTCACATACCAAATAATATACGAGTGCTTATGAATATTATAGAATTGTAGACAAAACATATATTATGTGTATGAGTAAAGATGAATAAACATATGTTGGTGCTTTAATATATTTTTCTTGCACTGAGTTGATAATACAAGAACATTTATTCTTTATATTATCTAAAGCTTAAATAACAATTAATTCCAGTATCAAAAATTTATTAAGTTTATTTATTTTTGTATTACTATTGAATTAAGTTGCAAATATTATTCGAATCGCGAACTGACTTACATATAATACAATCGTATATACATAACTATAATCAAAAGCATAAGTCTGAATACCTGAATTTAACCAAGACTCAATTCATTTCGGCGTATAGGTAGGTAGCGAATGGAATATTTTCATAAGTAATGTGCGGAGCACATAATTGTCACAAATAAAATAATGACATAACAATTGCGCGCGAATTAGCTTACAACTTTGTTCATGGTTCTGAAATATTTGTCCTTTTTCTTCAACTCGACTTTACGTCAATGTGAATTGAGCCTAAGGCAATTCCAATTACCGAGTCTTTAGCTCAAGGCAAAATAGAAAGATTATGTCATAACATGAAATAAGAAAGTCACTTTGATAATGGCAGTCTGGGATCGCAATCGACGGGTCTTCGCTGCTGACCTCGCCTCTCGTGCAGGTCTCCCCAGCAATAATACAGCACGAGGTAGTCGCTCCCTGAAATTTTGGCTTTACCCTCTAATTTTTATACGAGTGATTTCTGAATACAAACATACTGATACTATTATTATTATTTGTAATTTGTAACAATACTACTCGAGATACTATCACTCGTATCAATTAATAGAGGATTTTAAAAAGCCGATTGTAGTCAGAAATTATTACAATAAATTGCAACTCTTTAGAACAGTTAATATAGAATATTTTTGTTAAATATATGGATGTTCTATTTTTGGACTTCAATTTCCCAGTATATATTTATAACTAAACTATTTATGTATTTAAATATATGGATGTTCTATTTTTGGACTTCAATTTCCATGTATGTATTTATAACTAAACTATTTAAATATATGGATGTTCTATTTTTGGACTTCAATTTCCCTGTATGTATTTATAACTAAACTATTTAATTCAAGTAATCATATATTCATACTTAAAATAAAATAATTTACATGTTTACGTACCTATATAAATGTCGAGACATACTCGGGAAATGAATTTTCCATGTAGTTCCAATGTAGGTATGTAATTGATTATTGTAGATTTATATGTACATAATATAATATGTGTAGCTTTCAAATATTTCTATTTAATAATAATTATTATTTTGCCTTAAATTATTTTTATTTTTTGCATGGTATAATATGAACTCTTGACTTGTTTGTAGTGAAAAGTTGTGGATCTGTACGAATGCTTTATAACATGTCAAAATTCATGGAAAATTATTTAAAAACCTTTTTTTTCATGTTTGCGGTTAAAAACATGGATGAATTTTATACGTTAAAAGAACACGGTAGTGTAAACATAACATTACTCTTAATTGTTTCAATTCTATGGTCCTTTAGGATACAATATGATTAAAACGAAATATGAAATAAAAAAAATTACTATAACAAAATAAGCATGTTTAAATTTGACTCTCTCCTACTAACAGGCATGCTCTATAGCGTTATATTAAGCATGATTTTATTGATAATTTGCCGCATAAAAGAATTTTCATTACAAATAACGAGATTTAATAATAAAGAATCATGCCCACTTTACATACATTGATTGACCTGTCACTCGATTCCTTTAACAGGTCGCGTCTACCTACAACTACTGTTGTATAAAAAAATTATTGTTTATAATAACAAAATAACTTATCATCTTTTCATTTAAAGGCCAGGGAAAAATGCTATTAAGTAAATAAAATTTTGAGGTTATAACAGCTGTTAGATAAGGTCTGTATACTTATTTTTCTTTCCACACCGTAGTATAAAACCATTAAAAATCGTATCTAATCATAAATTAATATTATAAATAAAGAAGTTATAAAAAAGAAATTAGTTATTTTGAACATTCATAAGCCACATGATGAATGAACGAGTTTTTCGTAGTCTGAAACGGAACGTGGAAAACACGTTTTTAATATATTTTGGCATTGCTTCTGGGCCTTTGAGCCATTGTAAAGCACGTTCCGTCTCCAAAAGTCTATTGAGAATGATAAACAAAGTAACATTACTTTTTTTCCTGGCTTTATTTGAAAATTCAATTATGCGATACGAAATAAGAAAAAAATATGCAATTTTTATAAGATATTTTACATCACTAGACGTGTTACAAATTTTTCAGGTCAATAATGGACATGATTCTTTTGGAATAAATTAGACTCAATACGAGTTTTGTATAAATGCGCGTCCGTCTATATTCAAAGATGATTTATCTACAGGTATCAGCAAATAGTCTTGGTTCGCCTCAGCTGACTCTTCAAGCGACCCAGGGTACCGTAGGCTTAATAGCGGCGCCCGTTCAAGGCTCTGTTTTGCCTCTACAGCCCCAAGCTACCCTCGTTGCTCACGTGAAGAGCGAAGATGATAAGGGTCAGCAAATGGCTGCTCAGGTGAGATTTATTATTGCTTCGTTTAATGTCTGTTAAGAACAAGAAACTGTAATTCTTATATTCTTACAGATCTTTAAAAAAATTAATAATAATTCTTAACTGGGGTGGCTCCGGGCCCCCTCCAGTGAAATAGTTTTTTTTCTGTCTTTTTTTCTGGTTTTTTTGGGGGAGTGGATAAAAAATAATGTACTCAATAAAATGAATTATTATATGTAATTACAGCTTTTTTTTTTATAAATTGTGTTGAATTTTATATAGGACCTAAATAGCCACATTTCTGATTGAACTAAAGATTTGTACTAATGCTTTTTTAATTATTCTTTCCCACATGAAAATGGTATCCTATATAATATAATGTCTTCATATGTTTTTAAAATAAAAATAAACAGATATCCATTATAAATAGCACATGTAGCGTTGAAAGTATTGTTTTCGCAACTCAAATTTAATGTGAGTGCAATAACATGAATTATTTTTTTATTTATTTGTTTCCGTTACTTGTCCCCAGGCACCAGTGGTGCAACAAATAGCCCCCCAGCCAATGGTGCAAACTGAAGTTACTCCGGAAGCGACTGCTTCGATCGCAACAGGCTTCACTGCGGGTAGCACTGCTGCTGCTAACGTTTCTTCTGCTGCTACCACCACAACTTCGACTGCTGCCATTGATTCCACTATATCCACTAGCACTTCTACGATTGGTGCGTAATATAAATATAGAGGCCTTTCAACGAAAGAACTCCCGCATAGTATTTATGAAGGAAAGTTATAAATTATGGGGTTTGACGGCAGATATCAGATATCACGTAGATTGGGGCACTATATCCCAGGGAATTCTTTCGTGAAACTCTGTACTAAACTCAATACGTTTTTTTTTTCATGTGAAAATCCTCGATATTTTCAAATCAACAATGTTATGTAAGAGCCGTGGTAGCTCAGATGGTTAGCGCTCGCTGTAAATTTCACAGTACGCCAACTACCCGGGTTCGATCCCCGCCGGCACCAATGAAATTGTTAATTGCAATTTTAAGTGGTGATTTACCACGTCCTCGGCGGTGAAGTAAAATATCGAGAGGAAACCTGCACGTCTGAGAAATAAGAAAAAATTTTTCAAAGACATGTGAAGTTCGCCAACACGTATTGGGGCAGTGCGATGGACAATATTCCTTGCCCTAAAACCCTCTCAGAAATGAGCGGGAGGCCTGTGCCCAGAAGTGGGACATATATAGGCTATAACTTCAACTTTTAATGTTATGTAATTTTTTATTAAGTGTTAATTTATACTGAGATTGATGTACCAATTTTATTATTAGGAGCTGTAACACCAACGGAGTCCAAATCGAGCCCCTTAAAGTCAGATTTACAAGCAAGCAATGATACCAACGCAGCCACTTCCGTCACCTTAGTGTCAACTTCGACCACTCCAGTGCCCAGCAGTGCTCAACAAACCACGCCTGTAGCCCCACAGGTGAATATTGAATGATACAACAATTATGACAATATAGATTTATTAAATATCACTTTAACATTGTATGTACTAGTTAGTATTGTACATTACACAGTCGCAATCACACTAATTTTACCTTTAAGAAGTTTTTGATTTAAATATCACTCCATATTAGGTATTTCAACTTATCCTGAAAGCGTTTTATTCTTAAAAATTGCACATGGGGAGACCAATCCCATCTCATATCTAAATTATTATTTGTAGCCCATACTAATTCTTGTTCCGTGGAAGATTCAAACCTTCGGCACTGCCCCGCCGTTCAAACTCTTAAGGCTGAGATCTTTAGATCGTACTTCGACTTTGCTCAGGATTTATTTACGAAAAACTTAGCTTAGCCATAATTTTAGATTCTGAATTTATGGTTGTATCGGGCTAAGATTACGCGAAGCTTATAAAATACAAAAATGTAATATTGTAATGTAATGTATTATTAGCCTAAAATAGTCTCTAAGCAAATTTTAATTTTCTACACTTACATAATTTAATATTATTTGTTAGCTGCTTTTTTTTTATAATTACTTTTAAATTTTTTTAATTTTAATTGTTATTTATTTATTATATGTCGATGAAATTAAATAAAACGGTCATTTAATTTAAGCTTTTTGTGTATGATATTTATAATGGTGGGCCTCTTGCATTTTCCATCAGAGATTGCAATGTGTAATTATATAAGTTTGAAGTTTAGCTGCTCTGTGGCACAGTGGATGAGCATTAAGTTCCACCGCGGACGGCCGTGGGTTTGAATACCCCACTGAACAAGTATCAGTCTTCGTGTTGCTTACAAATAATGATTGTTCCAGATCTAAATGTTTGTCCTTGTGCATTTTTAGTTTAAACAAATGCCCCCACGACACAGGAGGATGCAAGAGATTTTTTTCCATTTCTGTTCTATTAGTCATTTCCTATTTCAAATATATATAATCGGTTGTGATCAGGTGGTAACGACTGTGGCATCATCGTCGTCGGTGGCAACGGCAACCACGGCTGTGGCAGCACCTGTAGCAGCTGGCCCTGCTCCATTGTTCAAGAGTTCTCAGTGTGCGCCGCGCCATATCAACCAGCAAGCTGCACACGGTTAGTGAGCATTGGATAACGCAGCATTTCTGTTTTTATATTGATACTAACTTTTGTTTCGACTTAAATTAAATTCATACAGATCTTGTGACCGACAGACATTTAACATACAAACTACATTGTTTATAATATAAATGACATATGTTGTATATGTGTATATGTCTTAACTTTTTAAAACATCTACATTATAATATTATAAAGAGGAAAGATTTGTTTGAATTGAATAGGCTCCGACACTACTGGATCGATTTGAAAAATTCTTTCACCACTAAAATTCTACATTATCCCTGATGAACATGGGCAAAAGAATATTTTCAAAAAAGTTAGAGATCCATATGAAAACTTCGTTAATGTAGCCCACGGTGTAAAGAAAAACCAAAAAAAAGTTATATCGCGTACGCTGCGGAAACTATTGACAATAGAGCAAATGATTTACAACAGTTTTATAGAAGACATATATCTACAAAAAAAAGTCTGAGATATCATGTATCTGACTATTACGATTATTTAATAATAACTACTTTATAATGTTGAAATATGCAATAGTAACACTTGTACAAACTAGGCCACATTATTCGTACCTTGGTATTAATCGTTATATCAAAATAAATCACTTCGTATTCAAGGCTGTATCGGTACCTGTACCATGCATAACCACTAATTACATTAATTATGTAATGTAAGTAAAATTTTTCACTTTTTAAATCATTGTTAATTTAGCAACCGTACTTGTTGAATTGTCTCTCAAAATTCACGCTCCCCAGTGCACTGGCAGCACTGGCGGCCGCGCCCCGCTCGGCTCACCAGGCAACACCGTGCAGGGCGCGCGTCACTGGCTGCAGGAGGGACTCAATGTCAAAAAATTAAAAGAGGCACACTCGCGTGGTCGGCACCATAGACAATTACACTATGTATAAGAGAGTCGGCTCCCTTCATAGCACTCTTGTGCGGAATCGAATAATTTTCGTTTGAAAATATTTTCATTTCGCTTTAAAGTCGTTTAGGAGGCGTTGATTAAATTTAAACCCAACAAAAAGTTCTTTTTAAAACCATACAAAAGCTCTTTTCAGAAGTACACCCAGTTTTTATGTTATATTCAGTATGTACTAAACGATAAATAAATATTGTACATTTAACTATCTATACAGCTTAATAACTTAGTAGTTCTTATAACTTTTCAATTACATTTTTATATCTAGGTAATTCCTAGTCAACAGTTAAGCAAATAATTTATTAAAAGGGCACTTGATTTTTTTTAATCATTTTATGCTTATCTGCTGATAATTAAATAATAAAAAATGCCCAAAAAATCAAGATTTCAACTATCTAAAAATAGTTCCCTGGCGAGGGCATTAAAAAAACGTGTTAATAAAGAATCTTCATCAGAAACTGAATATTGTCTTGCAATTCAGAGACAATACGCGTTGCAATTGCAAACCAAAGTCGAGTATCGAGCATTCACAGCGGCTTGCCAAACAAAATTTGAAAACTTCTCACGTACGCGCGTGAGAATCGAGTGTAGAGTGTTCGCAGTGCCTTCGAGATCAAAGAGAAAGACAACAGACGTCAACGGTTAGAGTTCGCAATCGAGTTTTAGCTCACAGTAACAGATCAGCTTTTAGATAAGATCCACAGATTGATTATGCTCAACAGTTCCGTCTAAATCAAAGTTACGAATAAGATATGCTAGAGCATAAGTGTTTTGCCAAAAAATTATGCTCAACAGTTCCGTCTAAATCAAAGTTACGAATAAGATATGCTAGAGCATAAGTGTTTTGCAAAAAAATTATGCTCAACAGTTCCGTCTAAATCAAAGTTACGAATAAGATATGCTAGAGCATAAGTGTTTTGCCAAAAAATTATGCTCAACAGTTCCGTCTAAATCAAAGTTACGAATAAGATATGCTAGAGCATAAGTGTTTTGTCAAAAAATAGGACGATTAACCTAATGGTATGTTATGCTTCAGGGAGAGTTAGCCTTCCCAATATTTCATGAGCCGCCACAGCCAATAGAAATATTTTGCAAATAATCGTTCACTATCTGAACATTTTTTAACCAACATACGTAGGTACAATAGCCTATTTAAAATAACATCGTTTGGCTCGAAAGAAATTAGGAAAGGAAATTTTATGCCTACTTTTAAAATAAAGCTTATAGTAACCTTTTACCACCATCACGCCAAACTCCACAATACTTACGATATATTTCAGTTCACATGCAGTTCAACTATCATTGCGGCCAAATATTGATTCAAGGCTGAAAATTAATTTAATTAACGAACTATAGATCGTTCATAAAATAATTATTTAAACTCATCTGTATGACGTACTACATTGTACATAATAAAGTAGCTATGTTATTCCCACTTTTCTTTTAAAAAATTGTTGCCATTTTTCCTTTCCATAGACAGGTTTAAGGAATAAGGAATAAAAAAGTATGGAGTGTAGAAGTAAGAAGTACAGACTGTGTATTAAAGTGTCCATAGAAAACCGTTAAATAAGGGTGGCGCCACTATAGCTACGGGCTAAATTTTAAAGAACGCACCAAAAAATATTTGTTGGATAGACGAATTTTTCGAGGTTATATTTACTAAATAAAATTATTTTAGATTTTAGAGCTACTGAGCAGTTTAGCGGCACACTTAAACCGTCGACAACTGCTAAGTTCATTTCATCCCAGTAGCTACTCCAGCGCTTTTGTGGAGGGTTTTTGAACTGTTATTTACTGCTTACAGATGGCCACTTTTTCAACTATTCTACTATGGGAGTTGGTACTCCTTGCGTCTACACTCCATATAAAAAAGGCAGAAAAGCAATTGATGTGCCATTAGCGAAACAAGAAACGTTGTCGATAAATTAATGTCGTCTATGGCTTAGTAAAACTAAAGATTTTGGTTGTTCCGGTTCATATAATATTTATTTATGCCAATTATCGTTAATAGAAGTTTCATCTGACATCTTACGACACGTAGTCGAATAATACGGTATTTCGCACTATTATAGTAAGTTAAAGTATCATGTTTTTGAAAAGGTCACTGTGAAGTCTACTTACAATTTAGCTGGTATATTTCGGCCAAATTATCCAGCTATAAAAACCGAAGTATGACCGCGGTCTGACTCCTCGTTTTTCGCTCCACCACAACTACCGATAAATCGATTAAGAACGTATTACCTGTTTTCCTGTCTGCTGCCTGAAGATTTTATCCAGCATTCATTCATTAATTACAGTTTACAGCCTATCAAAAGTCTTTCATAGCAAGCGGTAACCGCAATTTATCGTTATTTTGAAGCTTTATCAGAAGGACTGCTCCTTATCTCCTGTTTTTCTTTTTCTCTGTCCAGGTGATGATTTTTTAAGTGGGTCCCTAATGGTTTAAAAACTTAATTAGACCCGATAGGTGGCGCTATTGTCGAGATCCAGAAATCACAACAAATAACCCGTGCGAAGCCGGGCGGATCGCTAGTTTTATGATAAATATCTTGCATTAGGTTCTCCATGCTTATTAATGGTTTTTATATTTTTAATGTTTTATTATGAATTAGATTAATTAAAAGTAAATACGTTTTATAAAACAAATAATTGTCAAACTATAAAGTATGTCATGCTCGTAGACAGAGAAACCTATATACAAATTGACGCCTTCTTTCGCATTCGCACACGAAAAAGATAGATTTATGCATACGTCTTGCATAGAAATGAGACAGAGCGGTGTGATTGTTGTCCCTTTCTCCGTGCCGGTTTTTTTGTTTAGCAAACTAGACTTTGCTAAACAACTTTGACAGTTCGTAGCGATCTAAGGAGTTTACAAGTTGGTTTAAGTGAGAAAAAAGTGTTTTGTGAGCTTAAGATTAGTGAATCTTGTTCAGTTCAGTTTTTAGAACATTTAAAATTTTGATCTAAATATGTTTAAAAGTCATAAAGATTATTGTATAACCTAAAACTACGTTACCGTCCTTTCTCACTCGAAGCCGCGCTAATCATTAGTCTATAGGTTTCTCTGTCTACGGTCATGCTGGTAAACATGCATATTTTAATTATCAATAGAATGTGCCACGTTTCAGAGAATAGTAACTATTTATGTAGGACTGCTTTTATACTAAACAAATAAACTTGTTTAATATGTTTGAATTATTTTTTGAATATTTTTATTTAGACAAAGGGTTACCGAAGGCGATGGTGAAACCCAACATCCTGACACACGTTATCGAAGGTTACGTGATCCAAGAAGCCGGGGAACCCTTCGCAGTAAGTTCAAATATCTGTTTCCTAATTTATTTTCGAGATGAGCTGTCGGAATTTAAATACCTTCAATGATATTGTTAAATAGCTACATGTTGTTGGATTCACATCAAACGTCTTCGAAATATTTTTTTTTGCGCACAGGTTTGCGCACCATTATTACAAATAAACACGAAGAAAATAATTATAACATAAAGGTAATAAATCATGAACTCTCCAAATAGTTTATTGGCCAGAGCAAAGCAAAATTCAAATAGACCAAGATAGAATAGACCATTTTTTTCCTGACAGTTACAGTACTTTTTATTGTTACTTTTTATGCGTCGTTACTAATTTAATTCACTTTAAAACATTCCTCAGCGTAAGTAGATTAATAAGTTCCATAGATGCTAATGACTCAAATTGCATCCTGTATAATCGCACGGCACATATTTACTTTATGGCTTTTTATGTTATCGTGGGATTTATTTTTACTTATAGGTAAACAGACCTCTTCGTGAATGGGTCGCCTCTGACAAAGAACAGGATAAAGAAAACAAACTGCCGTCGCCTGATGAGCCACCACGTAAGTACATAATACCACAACAATTAGAGATGGACCGAATATTCGTTTCATATTCTGCAAGTTTACCAAATATTCGTATTCGGCCTGATATTCGGCTAAATCACCAAACATTCCTAAAATGTACGAATTGAGTAATCTCATGTCTTTCATAATTTTACTGTTGAAAGTATATTTTATTTATGGCTTAAATCTATTTGTATAGCGTTACGTTTTTGAGACACTTTATTTAAAATTATATCAAATAGAAAGCTTGATAAAATGTTTTTGAAATCAAACAAAGAAACATTACGTGGTAGAGCCATGCTGCACCTATATTGCAGTTGCAGACTATCGACCTCGTCCATCGAATCGTCCGACCAGGGAAGGACCACGCTCTCACAGAATACCAGCGTATAATAGCAGCTTAATGCTGCTGTGTTTCGTACGGTGAGTGTGGAGAACCGGAGACCCTTTTTTACTGCAAACGAGGCATTGTATCTCAGTCCTCAAGGGTTGGCATCGCATCTGCGTTTTGATTATTAATCGAGGATAGATGTAGATGTCTATGGGCCACAGCAACCACTTACCATCAGGTGGACTGTGTGCTCGTTTGTCAACCTTATTCTATAATAAAAAAACCAGTACATTTCACTTTACTTTGGTCGTCAGTTTCTCTAAAACAAATCTAAATACTAGATCTCCCGCCAGTCATTTTTATCATATAATTATCAATTTTCACTATGAATAACACAACGAAATACTTTTTTCTTAAAAAAATAGTGAAAACATAAGCATGTGCCGGCAATTTGCTCAGTACTAGATGATGTAATAACGTGTCAGGCGGGGAGCAAGAGGCAGGGTTCGGAGCTAATCCCGCGCGATTTACGGTAACAAGTTTCGACATAAATTGGTTAGGTAGAGGTGATCCTGCCGAATAATGTTCGACCGAATATTCGGTTCGATAAATATTTTACTGAATTTTCGAACGAATAATCGTATTCGGTGAAACCCATATTCGGCCCATCTGTTACAATAATATCTCATCTGATCCTGAAGTCCAGGTTAGTTGGTTGGCCAAGCATTAGACATTACAATTATTACAATAAAAATTATTGAGCTAATAAACAACCTAATGATAAGTAGCTATTGCGACCTAAGGCAATGGGTAAATATTGTTACTTGCGGGGTGAGAAAAAATGCCGATTGGGATGAAAATGAATGTATTTTTATACACACACAGCAAGATTACAATAACTTCTGAGGAAATGTCCTTCAGAACATAGTCGTGGATGCAATGCTACTCAGGGCAGATATGGGTAAAGAGGAAGTAACCAGCTGCCCACTAGGATAGACTCCTATGTATCCCTACTAAGGAAAACCTCCCACGTGGTTCCTTTAGATAGACCACTGCTGGGCCCCAGCGTACTGTCTACTGTCACCATTCCTTGAGAGTAAAATAATTTAGTACAAATATTCTAATCCGTAGTAGAAATTGGGATCAGTTATGTATTAATATTTGAAGGTTCCGTGGCGCAGTGGCTTAGCAATGAGTGGCTGCGCTCGGAGCCGCGGGTTCGAATCCCGCACGGAACAAGTATTTGTATGGCCTACAAATAATTGTTCCGGGTCTGAATGTTTGTACTTGTGCAATTTATGTTTGTAAATTACGTCCACGATACAGAAAAAAATCTTAGTGTGGGGGTAACGTTTTTTAAAGAAAAAAAATTACATGCGAAGTACAGAAGAACTGCCTGAGTACATTTTGTTATAAGTTCCGGCAGATTTCTGCCTTGCAAAAAATTTTTACGTTCTAATTATCAAAGTGACTTTGAAGTTACTTTTTGTTAATAGGAAAGAAGCAGATGTTGGACAATGGCAGCAATCTAGCTCGTATCAGCTCGAGTATGGAGAGTAGCGAGGCAGCGGCCGCACAGCATGGAACAAAGCAGGAGTCCATTTCAGACTCCACCCAAGACGATACGGCTCAGCCCAAGATACCCAACGCCAATAAATGGAGCGTGAGTGTTGATGCATATTGTTTAATATCACTACTACTATTTCTAAAAATGCCCCGAATAACACAATTTTTGAAGATTTTACCATCGTCAAAAAATTGTGAAGAAAAATAATCTCATAGTGCAATTTGCAAATTGTTGATTATAAAGAAAAATATGTATTGGAGTGAACTGTATTGGACAGGTTTAGAAAAAGTAATCTATTGCTTTTACCTTTAGCTGGCAAATTGTCTTTGAATTGAAATTGTGTTGCCAGTGATGTGTGGATCTGAGACGAGGTCCTTCACTGCTGGCCGTATGAGGACGCTCAAGGTCGCTCAGCGAGCTATGGAGAGGAGGCTCAGGAGCTCGGAGTTTCTCTACGTGATAGACTCAGAAATGAGGATATCCGCAGTAAAACCAGAGTGACCGACATAGCCTAGCGGATTAGTAAGCTGAAGTGGCAATGGGCCGGCCATATAGCTCGAAGAACCGATAACCGATGGGTAAGAAAGATTCTCGAGTGGTGGCCTCGTACCGGTAGGCGTAGTGTAGGGCGACCCCCCACTAGATGGAGTGACGACCTGGTAAGACATGCAGGAAGTCGATGGATGCAGGTGGCTCAGGACCGTGCTTTGTGGCATTCCTTGGGGGAGGCCTATGTTCAGCAGTGGACTTGTGATGGGCTGTAATGATGATGATGATGATGGGAAATTATCGTTTTGTTGAACTGACCGTTTTGAACTGTAGTTGCTATGGTTTGACTTGGAATTTTGAATCGAAATAAAGGATACTGTGAAAGCAGATAGGTCTCAAACTACGGCTAAGCTAGTGTCGGCTTTTGATTGTAGGTGTCAAAACGATGTTAGATCATTTGCGGCAAATCGGATAAATAAAGATGCTTGGACCACTGGACACCCCACGCAATACGTGACGCACGGCTGAGATGCCCGCGTCTGAATTTGCAGCATGTAGTTAAATCGGTTAAGACAAAACCGAGGGAATTTTAAAGCTAATTGTTACGTGCAATGCGAAGTAGAACTTATACGACAAAACGCGTTCACGGTGGTTTAGCTTACGGTAACAGTTTAGTGGTCTATTGTTGGTGTTAATCTTGGCCGTTATTGCCAAGAACTGCAAATGATGGTGGAGAAGCTGTTAACTGCTGTAAAGTAAACTGCTCTTCGCTATTGCTTCTTCATGACAAAGCCCGGTCATACACTGCACAACAGATCTTTGCAAAATTAACAGTGCTACAGCTTGAGACTCTTCCTCATCCACCATATTCACCAGACCTTGCCCCATGAGACTTCTGCTTATTCCAAAGTTTAAATATCTTTTTCAGTGGCAAAAATGTAAATTACGAAGTAGTAAGAAACGCCTTTAAATGTTATATCGATTCTTGTGCAGCGGATATATAAAGCAAGTATATCAATAAACTGTCCATGAAAAGGCAAGGATATGTATGAAATAGCTTACGCAAATATGTTTATTTATTCAACTATTTTTGTAAAAAAAAAATATTTCAATTTTCTCATACTTTTCTGCCTATAATCCTATTTGAGTTGATAATTTCGATATTTTTTTTTATTTTGATTATCAAGGGTTGTTGACAGAAAAGAAAAAAACGTCACGTTGAATTTGCAAACTTACAGGTGGCGGAAGTATGCGATTTCATCCGCAATATTCCCGGGTGCGCTGGATACGCGGATGAGTTCCTCATGCAGGAGGTGGACGGAGAGGCGCTGCTCCTTATCAGGCCTGAGCACCTAGTTATGGCGCTCTCCATGAAGCTAGGGCCGGCGCTCAAGATCGTCGCCTGCATAGATTCGCTACGTCCCGACAACGACCAACCCAATAACGATCACGACTGAGGTACGTATACACACGCACGCACGCAAACACACACGCAAAAGCACGTGCGCATGCACTTATAAGTGGTAAGCCTTATATTATGGTTGTAGCGCGAATGGGCCGGCACGACCGGGGCAGGACCACGCTCTCACAGAATATACTAGCGTAAAATAGCATGGGTTTTGTTGTGTGGGGGGGGTTGCTCCCTTCTCCTCCCGGGGGGACTTTTTTTTTTTTGGGGGGGGGGTTGGGGGGGGTTTCGGGTCATCAATTTTGTACTTCTTTTAAGTATTCGGAAGAAGAAGCCCCCTGTATAAGCTCTTCATCATGTTGTTTGTGTTCTTTCCGTTATCTGTGTATACATAAATTGTTCAATAAAGAAATAAACTTATTATCAATTTATAAGTTCGTTATTGGCGGATAACGTTTAAGTTATAGTTTTTTTTCCGTCAAAAGTCTTAGCCGTCGATCAATATAACGCTGTTAATTTAAAATAATCTTGAGTTTAAAAAGCGAGTTCTTTAAATTGATGTGTACATAAGCTATCATGTGACATGTGATTTGTGTCAGTATGCCAGTACTTAACTCTTATAAACAATCAAATAAAGTAATGTATAAATTTTCTTGCGTACTTAGAAATTTTACAAACTGGATACGAATTGATGTACCTATATAATATTTGCATATTGATATTGAACTAATGATCAAAAATGTTTATTTTAAATGATTAACATATCATGATATGAATAACACATCAAAAAAGGTATGAAGAATACGGAGAATGAGGTTCCTTGTGGCTTTATTGTTAACCTAAGACGTAATACTTTTTTTACTATAGAGAAACTTAAAATTATTCTTTTTTTTCAGATTGGGCTGTCACGTCACAAGCCGTGGACGTTGACTAAAGTTCAGTGTTCAAATACAATAATTTGTCTATAGTTATTTTTAATATTAATACATATTTTATACCTTGTTTTTACAGTTACGTATTTTACTAAACAACAGCCGTTTACATCATAACCATTTATGTTTATTATTAAACGGTTATTGTTATGTAGTAAGAATTAGCGAGTTAGACGCAATTTTACATACATTTTAAAACTTTACATCGTAAAACTATTTATTGGTAGCGATAATTCAGTAATTTGCTTATTACACTTCCAAGTGTACATAAGTATATTTTTATTCGTGCATTATTATATTTTGGTCAAACTCAAATTTATTTACTATCAAAATGTGTGTGATGCACGTATAAGATAAACGAACATTGGTCAGTGTAACGTTTTGTGTTTTAATATTAAGTAATATATAGGTTAGTCCATGTCAAATACGTACCAAAAATGTTTGTTTTACGTGTCTTCTTACTTTCATATTGTACGACGATGTTATATAAAAATCGTCCATATTTCTTGGTCCCCTACGTAGGCCTCTACGTAGCGTCGTGAACGTTAGTCCTCCTACCACTATTGTCATAAACTAGAATAGTTTCCTTCATTTTCAACTTTAATGTGTCGAATTAACATTACCGTTTAAGTACATATTACATTGTCATAATGTTAATTTCATGTAGAGTTAAGCTTCTCGACCTTAAGTTGCACATAAAATAAATTGCTGCTTAATAAATGTATCGAAAGCATAGGAAATCGATGTATTGTTCGTGCAGGTTTGTATAGTTATGAGGTGTTAGCGAAATGTTTTATCCGGCTATTCGCATTTCTGAAGTATGATAATTTTGCTGATGCAATAAATTCTAACATTTCTACATTACCCTTAATTTAAAATAGCTTTTATATTTGGAAATGCGAATAGCTATCAGTTTCGCTATTTTTAATTGGGTTGTATTTAGTTTTAGGTTTAATATGTTTTAGTGCATACGTGTCTAACGCTTGCATAGGTTATAAGTTAGTGAGTAAAACAATGGTATCACTTTATCGCATTTGACGATTAGGACCGATACAGGTCGGTTCGCATAAAGCAATTTTTGTACACATCTTAATAAAATTTTTAGTGATAAATATCAAATCCATAAAAGTTTTAACTGTTTAATATTTTTAATAAATATTAGGATCAATTTATTTAAACAATACATCTAATTATTTTTGCGAATATTGTCAACTTCTTGTTCGTGTTTATATTTTTATTTATTCTGAAATATTCAATGTATTTGTCCAAATCGTCAACGGCGTTAAAAGTCTTGCCTCCGCATGACGGCTAGAATATGCCAAGATATGCAACGGTAAATCTGGGACAAATGTCGAGAGTTCCGCCTATTAAATGTTAAGCGTATTACATATTATATAACTAAACACTATTCTAGTGTCCGCACTTTCACTGCAGCTGTAAGCTTACACCTCACCAGTGAAACATCTTGTTGAGATGTCTTTTTAATCTTAATGCGTTAGTTGTGCCGCGCTTAGTACGCAACTCTCTTAATTCTAACATAAAATATTTTACTTATAGCTAGTTATACTCACGTGAAAAATATTTTCCATGATAAATACCTATGTTCCTTCAATTTAATTTAAACTTTATTTACAACGGTAATATCATTCAAGGGATTTATCACATGTTAATAGTCTCATTTACACATGCGTTAGGAGCATTATGGTAATTTTTAACTTCAGAGCCCTTTTAGAACTAAAATGTCCAGCTATGGTACATTTTAATTACTTACTTTGTTATATCACCTATCTATAAAAATAAAATCTCAACTAGTTTTGTTATAAACGAAAAGCCATTGTAATATCGCAACCAATGTATTAAAACCAAATACACTATTAGTTGCGTTATGTATACTTTTTGTTTAGACAACGAGGCTGTATGTAAACTTTTATATTTATCAAATTTTTTAAAATTAATTTTAAAAAAACCAAAAAAATTGTTTGTAAGAAATTTAAGTTGACTTTGTGTGACAACGTTAGATCCTGATACCGAAGACGCGGTATCACTTTTTCAAACTCAAAAATTATTTGCCTATCATCTGTCTCTTAAAACTTTCCAATCGATGAAAATTTATTGTATATCTAAAATTACAGCCTATGATATACGCGAGTACGTCACACTGTGGCACAGCCGTCTCTCAGAGGGTGTTAGGGAAGGAAATTTTCGCCGCGCTGCCCTATACTTATATTTCAATATTTGTGTGTATCATACATCCATGAATAAATGGTGCTCTATCCGGTGAATAACAAAATATTTAAACCATTATTTCACCAATAAGAATATCCACTTCCCCTTATCATCCCGTGGGTGTGAGAGGCGACGGAGGGAAACAAATCACTAGATAAACAATCCAAGGACGGTACGGACGGTAACGGTAACAGTCGTGAGATCAACCGCCGCTGTTTATTTATTCTATCTTATATATAAATATCTCGTGTTACCGTGTTTATGGATCCGGAGGAGACCATATGAGAGTAACACGATATGAGAATAGGTCGTAAAGTATATTTAGACCCGGCAGGTGGCGCTGTTGTCGAGTTCCAGAAATCCTCCGTGCAATGCCGGGCCGGAACGCTAGTATGTCATATAAAATGTAAGAAAATTATCTTGCCTTTTTAATGGAATAGTTATCCTTTTTGTTGAGATACGCATACTCAATAGAAAAAGAGACTATTGGTGACATTGATATCATATCTTCCTTTTGCTTATTTCACCCTAAGCGCGGCATAACTTTTCCTGTCTCTCAAAAATAAGTCGCATATTGTCTATAACTTGGATGTTTACAATTAATAATTTACTATAGTAAGGTAATCTAGTATTTTATTAAAAGTTCGGTTTTTTAACGCGCGAAGTGCTAAACGTTGATTTTAATTTAACAAATTACTTACGTTACCTAATTTCTTTGAAACAACTGTCCACATTCACCTGGGCTCTCTCTAGTTTGGAATTTGTACCTTAAGTCATTTTTAATTATGTATGTGTAGTCGGCACTTAAATGTATTTTAAGTAATGGTAAGAAATGTGCACACTCACATATCTGTGCTTAAACAGACAAAATACACACTAATAGAAACAGTAGTATTTCTACGTATAGTATAATTTTGCCCAATTTCCTCGCACGGATATGTGTGTGTTCCAAATTAGTAAAGATAAGTAATTTTAAGAGACATTATTCAGTATATCAACGAAGGACTTCTACGTATACTGCTGGATGGGAACTACTGTGCTGATTGCGAACGAAAATTAAATTACGGTACATTTTCCTTAACTTCTTCAGTCGGCAACGAGTGGGCGAGCTAGTTTTCTGTTTTGTAAACCGCGAACGTTCTTTTCAACAATCGAACACTGATTTTGTTTAATTTGACTAAGAAAACGTCGTCATTATTGGTTTACAGCGTGAGTTAAAGTTTATTTAACGTAAGTGTGTAACTTTATTTCGTATTTGTCTAAATGAAAATACAACTGCGTGACCCGCGCGAGCTTTCACACACTTTTTGTCATAAATTACCGGTCTAGCAAACATACATAGAAGTCTTTGGTATCAACATATTATTAAAAATAAGATTTGTTCTATGTAATCGATGTTCTATGTTCAACGTGTATTAGTTGTATTAAAAAACTTAACTTTTCTGTCGATATTTTATCGATGGGATGGATTTTTTTATGTTTGATATTTATAATTGTTACTCATTAGTTCTATATGGTATTGCGGCAGGTTATAAATGACCGAATGTGCAATCTGTTTAAATATTAGCGATTATAATTTGGCAAATCTGAAAACGCTTTATCATTTATTTCAAACCATCAAACTGATATGTATAAAACAATTAATCTATGGTGCTACTTATTTCTTGTACTTGTGCGGCGATCATTTTGCAAAATTATGATTGTTTACTACTTATATATTTTATTGTAAGTGAATCTATACTTGCTAATGCGGTTAGAAACCACTTGGGACATAGTTGGATGCAGAACTGGATTTCTGAGTTACACATATGATACCATCTTTCTATAAGTCCCGTTTGGTTTTTAGTAGAGTTTATAGTTATTTTGCTCTTTTTGTACATACTAGATGAATAAATTTATAATACATAAGTCTACCAATACGCATAGTTCACTCAAATTTATGAAAACAAGCATCGTGGTTACGTTCAATACCAAAAACAGGTCTGTAAAAATATCGTACTATAAGCATCGGGAATTTAAAACTATTTTAAGTGCTTGGTACAACACTTGGGAAGTGTTTTAGGATTCCAAGATATAAACATTTTTGTATCTTTAATTACTGTTAGGGTTATTCAAATTGTTATTTGCTTAAAATGATTTTGAATTCCCCGTAGGGGTGGGAGTTGACTTTGGATTCTCGTTGTTTCGGCTACACTGTTCATGCCGATGATCAAATGTAGTCATTATTTTTCTGGTTTCTTTTTTCAAATAAAAATAACATTTAAGTTTAAAATAAAACGTGTTAATTTAAGTGAAGAGTAAGTAATGTTTAGTTATACTAAACACGTAGGTATTTAATTTGTACATTTCAAATGAACGTACATCGACTTGAGCACGGCCATGTGTGCAGTTGTACCGCGGAGTCTCATTCATCCCTTTGTGCAAGAATATTTTGGTTCTCCGGTTATAAACTAATAAAAGAATTTAACTTACTTTCTCTAGAATGACTGAGACTCTGGGTCCACTGGAAGTGATCCTGTAACGATATCTCTATGTCTTTATACACTTTGCTCAATGTAATACAGAAGCTTACTGTTCACGATTAAATTCTCAATAAAGTGAATGAGACTGATTTGATACTTTTATTATCTCTCCAAGCACTTACCATCTGCTTGAAGCAGCATTTCTTATCACGATTTATTATTTTGGTTTCAGTTTTATTTTTAAACACATTTTATTTACTGCACAAATACAGGAATATAACGATGTATACCTGTATTTATGAAAAAAGAATTATGTCAATTTTATTTCATTAATTTGGTAAATCAATAAAACACAAACTGCTATATTTTGCATTTGTATTTATTACATTTCTAAAAATATAACAAGTAACTTAAAACCTTTAAAATCTAGTCATCATATATTTTACATTTGTGTATATTTTTAAAACATACACTTTACACATGTTAAAACTACTTTTTAAATGCTCATAATTATTATTAATACTACATTCAGTAGGTAAAAACACATTTTGAACGGTCCTGTGAAAGCGTCATCTACAGCATTCGTCCTAATAGAATAAATAGAAGAACAAAAATAGAATAAAAAAACAACTAAAGAAGAACTAACCTAAGAACCCTAGAATAATTCTATCATCGGGAGCATTTCCCAAACAAGCATAATATCAACATGCTTCGTACATTTAGTTAGAGGAAATCAGTCAGACCCATTAGTCTACTGCACAAACCAACAAAATATTTTAACCTCCACACGATTGCAGTCTATAATAGATTTTGTCTCCTTATATAATGAAAACGATAAATATTAACCTCAAATACATTTAAGGTTCATTATTCATCATTTGATGCATTTTACTTTTAAGTCTGGTAATTATACACCTAGATAATTTAACGAAAAATCCGTTACAATAACAACATACAACAAATATAAAATATCATTTTGTAGTTGTGCTTTTGTTTCGTAACTGAAAGGGTTTTCAGTTACGAAAGATTATTTATTTCTAATAGACCCCATGTAATTCATTGTAACTAAAATAATGTTATCTGAATCTTTTACGTATAATTGGGAAAGAACACATCATCTCTCGTGGGCACCTCGTACCGGTAAGGCTTCCGATGGTGACCAACTTCATAGCCAAGCTTCGGTTCTTTCACTCGAAACGCTTGACGCTCCTCTGCCCCTCTCAGCTTAGAGCTCTCTACAGTTTTCTGAAAAAACATAAGCTACTTTATTCTTAGGCTATAATAAAGCCTTAATCATGTAATTTCTTCATGATATTTGTTCGTACGTTGGAGGAATAATAAATTCAGTTTGATAACATTCAAATAATAATACCGTTCAATAGATCAAAAATGCACTTATTGTTTAAACCGTAGCATCCATATATATTTAAGCGTGCATTATTTTTAATTAACTGCACAAGGGACTTAATTACCTTCTTCGCGTAGCAGAATATCATTTGTATAATTTATACATTATAAACTTAAAGTTGGGCAACTCAAAAAATTAGGATTATGTATGAAAGTGGGATACTTGCCCAACAAAGCAATGGGTCCCGCACATCCGCCGCAACTTGTGGAGCTGAACACTTTTGCGTTCCTACAGATGAAGTAGAAACTGTTACTTAGCTAAAGTGATACAACAAGTTTTTTATTTATAAAACTCAACAGGACGGAATGTTATGTGAATATACTTTATTTACTTAGGAGAATACGTAGAATTCGTATATCGTCTGCTTTATCATTACGATTAAAAATAATGCTCGTTTAAATAATCACCAGTTGGAAAACCCTAATGATAAACCTAGAATTATTATTTTCAGAAAACAGTAAGACTTAACAACGGATTTAGCCTTTAGAATAATAGCAATCTCATATATAGTTAGGTTCTTAAACTTATTAACAATTTAAATCTAAATAATTACTAATCTTGTATATTGTACTCGAAGCTAAGGCTAACATTGTCACTTCAGATAGGGTTGCCACCTTTTTTTTAAATATGTGGAATTTTTCCCTAAAAGGATGTAAAAATATAGTACTTGTGAGAAGTTCCAGGTAAAAAAAGTAAATAATATCTGTTTTCGCTAGATTGTGTATTTTTGTTTTCTCTTTCTAATGATCGGAGAAACGTAATAACAGTAAAAATGGATTTAGCAGGTTTACACTCTAAGTTGACGATATCTATTATTACTATATCTTAATCTTTATGTCTGTATGTACTCAATACAAATATGAATGTATTTTTCCATATTTATTTGTTATTGCTCTTTGCCTTGGCCATCAATGATCTAACCACCTTACCTTCTATATTAATTTTAAAATAATAATAGGAGTCTGAGCAATTTAGATTCATATTAAAATAAATTAGAAATTAATTATTAATTAAATTATTACATACTGTTTTCTTTCTACTCTCAATTGTACATTTATGACGGAAAAATTCTTTCCGTAAAACAAATTTCTTCTAGATTTCCAATCACAAGTTATATAACAAAGCGATAGTTGCGTTTTGGTTTAAAAATTTAGTATTTTTCGTACTATGTTATTTTTCTACAATATATATTAAAATTGACTGGAATAAAGTACGCTACTATATATTATAGTACGGGTGGCACAACTCTACTTCAGATACCTAGTTATGTAGTGCGTCTGATTTTTTAAATCATTTTATTAAGACCTAACGAAAAGTGAATCCCTGTGAATATCAGAAAAAAAGTAAAGTTATGGCATATAATATATTCCATACAGGTCTTTTCTCATTGGGAGGGTTGCATTGTTGATATTTCACACAAGCCTTCGGTCATTGTGAGGGGTTTAGAGCAAGGAATAGTCGACAGTGTTGCCGCAATGCGTGTTGGTGGACTTCACAAGTCTTCGAAAGTTGCTCGTGCTCAGTGTTGCTCGCGATCTTTTGCAATAACACCGAAGTGCACCTGACAAATTACAATTAACAGTCATTGCTGCCAGCAGTAAACGAGCCTGGGATGCTTGCGTACTATGAAATTTAAGGTGATACCTCGAAAATTTGGTGGTTTTTTCAATTTAACATATCTTTTAAGTTTTATAGATGACAAATCAAAATTTCGGTATATGACTTTTGAATATATGACCTTGGATTGCATAAAAGGAAAACACGATACCATGTAATTTTCTCGATAGAAAAAAATTGCAAAGTAGGCTCTCATTATTTACATTTCTCGATGACACCACAATATTCTTACGAATAAGTTCGTGGGATTATTTTTAAGGATTGGTAAATAATCATATCTAAATTTTCATAAACCAGTTTTTTTAATTCATAACGAAGTTTTGTTAAAATAAATAAAAATGTTGTTTGGCGCTTACTGAGTATTTTTCCGAGCGCTTGCTCGGTGTGGCTATCTCATAATTTGCGTACTATGAAGTCATTGCATCAATTTCATTTTGACACTCCCGCAGTCGTCCGTTAGCTTCACCGACAAAGGAATAAACCACGCCCCCCAAATTTCGATTCATTTTCAAGGTATCCTCTTAAATCAACCATTTAGTCGCTGAGCTACCACGACACTGCACAGTTAGTTGCTTGTAACATGCATTGCATTGCATCTAACTAACTCCCTCGCTTATCTATTTTAACGCATACGCGTGGTAGATATAGATATAAGAGATTATAGAGCCTTAATAACTTCCACGGGACATTATCGAAAAATATCTAAACGATAACCATTACCCTCGGGTGCTGATTAAATTCCATGGGTTTGCTTGCGGGCAGCGGGCGGATCATCATCCGCGTCTTGGTAAGTGGCACCGTGGGTGCTTTGAACGAGATCCAGTAAATGTTCTGCCCTTGTGCTTCCTCTGCCGACAGTGTATACTTGCCGTTCAGGTTACTGTAAAAGGCGCACATATTGATTTTTCGCGATCACACATTAACTAAAAATAATAATAATATTTTATACTTATAGTAAATTGTCAAAGAATAAGTAACTCAAACTTTTAAAGGTCTGCTCAGCCAGAACTTATAACATGCGTGGGATAAATGGGTAACACTTGCTTGATTCAGATGCTCATATAGATAAGGACTGCTAAAGGATGATCTACCGATCCTTTAGTACGTTACAAAGTATCTGAAAATGTAATGTAGGGAACTAAAAGTTTCGGAGCTTACGTAATTACACCCCTGTGTGCCGGTGTTTTATTTATAGAATAAGGGTGAAAAACGAGAGCACACATTGTACCTGACAATAAATTGATGCTGTGGCCCATAGACATCTACATCTATCCTCCACTACCCCTTCGCCGGTCGAGCCGACCTATTCGTGCTACAACCACAATTTATCTGCAACATGGCTCCAGGGCTGACTTTCAGTCGGGAAAACATTGTATTGACCCACGGTATAATATCTAAATAATTGACGACTACAAGGCAAGGCGTTAAAATGAATCCCGGCGTTTAAATATTGAGTTATCCATCCAAATAATGAATTTAATCAGAAAATTTAACCTAAGAGCATAATAAGCCTTTAGATTAAACTATAATCGGGCCACAAAATAAGCAAGAAGGCAGTTTTTCTCTGCTGATTAAGTCATACTTAGATTTAAACACGATTTCTTACCTTTTGTCACATTCTTTATACCACCAAGCGCCACCGTGCTCCTTAGCACAGGAACCATCCTTCCACTCATCGTGGTCTGCGTCATGAGTCGAGAACTTCTGCCCGGCATGATATGACAAAGAATCACCTTGAAGGAAATTGTAATATTATAGCCACTTATCACACCTTTTTACATCTGACAAACATATATTTTACGAACCTGCGGAACCGTGAAAGGATCCAAGCGTGCTTATTCTGTAGCCTTCGTGTTCAGGCGCGATAGTTAACACGGAGTAGCTAGCGTATGCATCGCGCCCGTGCTGAGTTTCCAACTCTACACGCAATTCGTACAGCTTCTGGCTTGTGAGGTAATGCAGCTGCTCCAACCCCAGCCAGAATTCACCTGCCAGGTTACCGAAACCGTATTTGTATTCCGACCACGACTTGTAGAAGTTTTGCGAGCCGTCATAGCGATTTTGAAACACCTACAAATATTTTAAGGTTCTTAAAAACAATAATTAAATAACGATTTAAGAATAAAAAATCTAAAATACATTTAAAAATTGTACAAAATTGCATATCGTGAGTATTTTTTGCTTTAATCACTTTCAAACAGTCAAATCTAAGTTTAATCAAAATCTTCCGAAACATTACAAACTTTAAAAATTCCAGAAAATCTTGTAGCGTCTTTGTATTTAATTTTCGATGTTTACAAATAGTTCAAATAACTGGCAACGGTTTCAAATTACAAGAAAATAAACAGTGGTTAATAAACACAATATATTTACTAACCGTCCAACCTCCTCCGGCAGTGCTGAGATCACATAGCACATAAAACGCCTCCATATCGTCTGGCTTGATCTTGTAAATACCAGAAATGTTAAATCCTTGCATTTGTATCTCGTGACAGTCAGTGGGATAGCGCTCGTTGCGGTCCATCCGACCGATTCTGTAATCAATAACTTAAATTGTGATTTGATTTAAGAAAATGATCGTTGTATTCATAGAAAAAAGTAAACTTACTTGCATTCACATTTCTTGGGTTTCTGTTCATATAACGCTCTTCTAAATTCACTGATCAAGGATAAAGCGTCGAACGAACCGCCAACTTCTGCCCTGTTAACAAAAAAGAAATAATATGAACATTAAATACATAAAAGTCTGCACCCGCGAACACTTGTCTTTGCGTTCCAGGGTCAACTGGCAAGCAATGCTATTAGTCCGCCTATTGAAAGATCCAAGTTGATCACAAAAAGAATAAATAAATATAAGTTATTTTAAAATTTGTAAGGATATTGGGATACGTGTTAATAAATTATTGCTAAGAGATAAACTATTTCCTGATTTAACACAATAGATTTTTCCACGGAAAAATAAACATCAATTGTGCTTTGACCGTTCTGTTTTCAAACGGGCATAAAACGCGGACGGAAGCCAATGTATAATAAATATTGAATCAAATATGACAATAATTTGTATTGAACTAAACTTGCTAGGCAGACGTTGTTTCGTCCTTTTCGGCGACTCTTTGTAATGTCCTATTAAAATTCTTTAAATTCGCAAAAAAAAAGTGGGTCACTCATGGGCAAAAAAACTATCTTATCTCTCAAGTTAGACCAAACTGCACACGGTGTGCAAATTTGATTAAAATCGGTTAAGTAGATTAGGAATGCATCGCGGACAAACAACGTGACACGTAATTTATATATATTAAGGTTACATAGCCTGAGAATCAATAATGGTTGACTGTTATCAAACGGCTCTTGCTCATTTATTTATTAAATAAATTAACTATACACATTTAAGTGTGATGTATTTAGATGTGATCATGTGACCCATCTTTTGTTAATAGTTACTAGATAGTACATATGCTATGAATAAAGCAGGAAGTGTTTGTTATGTATGAAACGAACGAAAACAACGTAGGTAGCACACAGGTGGACCTGTAGGTGTCAAAACAAATTTAACACATCAACATCATCACCTACCACAAGTCCACTACTGAACGTAGGCCTCTGCCAAAGGACTTGGTCTGTCATCCAAAAATTGCTGTACCTACAATGACGACCGCGTACTTGTTATACGAATAGTACGAAGTTTTGTCTTTTTTATAAGATAGTATTTCCAAAAATAGTAGCCAAATTACCGAACTTTAGAATTACTTACCTGTGATAGTTCTTAGTGTTTTGACGATGTTTCACTTCGGCTATAACTCCTGATATCGATTCAACGCTCGTCATGATAGACTTGACGTGATCTTCTACCAATTTAAGTCTGCTTTCGAGACTAGATTCCAGTCGATATTCGCCTCCCTCAACTGAAAACAGCATACGAACATAATAATATATCAAGTACATACTTTGTAAGAAAAATTACAATCGTGAAATATACCAACAAGTCGACAATTATTACTATCAGAACAAGTCTACATTCTCAATTACCGATTTTGTGACCACATTATAATGTATATTAAGAGTGGTTCCATTCCTTTCCACTTTGGTCTAGTGGTCATAAACGCGATTTCTAAACACAAGAACCCGAGTTCGAATCCCGAATCGGCCCAAATCAGTTTTTGGATTTTTCTGTTAAAAAATTCTCAGTAGCTGCCCGGAGTCAGGAAGTTGGCGGTGTCTCACCCCCGTGCCTCAGAAAGCACGTTAAGCCGTTGGTCCTGCGCCTGATCTCTCTCTGGTCGTTTCGAATTACCGTTCCATCGGACTATGAGAATGAGTGAATAGAGAGTGCACCTGTGCTTGCGCATACACTAAGGCACTATAATCCTGGTCTGCGCAGTGACTGAAATTCGATGTGCACGAAATTATTATATTAAGAGGAACATGAATAAAGTATCACATGAAACCGTAATCGCGGAATTTTTTTAAAAAAGGAAACCTAAATGAAGATTCTTTATGGTTATGTTTTCAATACGCTGGTGATGAATTTTTGGTAGGTACATTTATAGTTAAATAGCCCTTACTCGGAACTAAATTACTTGTTCTTTCTTGAGCACTTTTTTCCATCTTCGACTTTATATAGTTTAAATCGGTTTTTAACAGTTCTAAAGCCATATCCACCTTTTCAGAATTTGAAAGACTTTGAATAGATTTGGAAAGAACTCCTAAATTTCTCAATATGCTGCTTGTTTTCTCGTGTACTTCAATATCCAGTCTATTTAATCTAAAATCTATGCCATCAATCTTTTTCAGATATTTTTCGCTCATTGTTATTGACTCCATAATTTTATCTACAACCGCCTCATTGTCAGTCATTCCCGTAGACTGTGTCACTCTTGTGTGATTATCGCGTCTCGACGATAGTATAGCTCGATTCAATTCATCTTCGTATTCCTTTTTCCATGAAGTTTTGTCTGAATGTTCATTTCTGTGCCTCCCTCTTTTACTCCTGGCTTCTTCGGAAGAAATAGGTGACATGGTCGCTAGAGCCAGTTGCAACAACATAAACTTCCGAAACATATCGAGATGTGACTGTTCAGTGTGCCGTGAAGCGACTGCCGCGTTTAATCATTTTGCACACTCACAGAAAAGTTTACAAGCTATGAAGTCTTTAAATAAAAACAGTTATGATTTATCCGTAAAGATGATTCGCACAGTGTTCATTCACATGTTTATAATTGTATGTCGATCATGTTTACAAACATTTTCGTTTACAATACCGTCTCGTACAATACTAACTATGACTCTCAATTGCATACAATTTGTTGGAAAATAACTTAATCTACACACTTTATTACTGGTGTGGGGGCGCTGTCGTCGCGCCGCAAGCGAAAACACACCGAAGCCTAAATCACGCTATCACAAATTCCGGATGAATATCACACAGAGTGTTGTCTACTCCCCGGGCAGAACACCTTGCCCGGCGGGAGAACTCCCATTTTCCTACTTCGGCCACAGTGGTGACCACCCGACGTGATTTGAACACGCAACCAACAATCTTCGGAAACTTCAAGCTTCATCATCGTCATAAAAATACCCCACCCATTCGCTCCCGAGCAGATATCGTCTGCAATCTTCATATCCTGCAAGCCATCTAGCTTCACAAGGTTCATCGCAGCACTGGAATAATAATGCTTCCTGTTCCTTCAAGCTACTCTCTGCGCTATACAGTGTTCGTTGTGTGCGGCTTTGAGCCTTACTACTCGCCTCTACTTCACGGCACTCTCTCAGATTACTTGCCTTCTTCTCGACTCACCGCAGACTACAAGGCAATCTCATGGCACTTGCACATTCGTCTGCAACGAGGCTGCACTAACGACCTCCGGTCTGAGCAGGGGGGTGATGTGGCAGCGCTGTCGTCGCGCCGCAAGCGAAACACACCGAAGCCTAAATCACGCTATCAAAAATTCCGGATCATAAACGGTATATATAGAATATCTCCGAACTATCACATAGAGTGTCGGCCGCTCGCCGGACAGAACACCTTGCCCGGCGGGAGATCTTCCTTTTCCTTCCACGGCCACACTGGTAATTCATTTGACTAGTTGCTGGGTTCAACAAGATTGAGCGCCCTAACTAAACGTAGTGATTACTGTCTCTTTGGGCGGAACAGTGTTCAATACTGGCTTACTATTTCCCGAATCAGCCTTACAAGAAGTACTGTTTTCACTTCTTGGCTGCCACAAACAATTACTACCAACGTTGCCTTTAACCAGACCTCGGACCAAAGTATGGTTCGACTCGTTGCCGACCTACTTCCTTCTCATCGTATTGATCTTATTCAATTTTTGACGGTGAATTCTGAAAGAAATTTAGACGTTGCATTTCTTATCTTTTTTATGACATTCATAGAGAGACCTCCGAGGATTTTTGTTGTCTCGCACGACAACTTTGTGTAGTTATGTGGACAACTGTCCACTATTGCTATTTCCCTAACCAATATAAAGACATTTATGTCAACACTTATATTTACCACACATGAAAAATCAGTAAATGAAAAAAGTGACTTATTAACAAACATACAAAAAAAATCTGATACGGCGCAGGGACTTTTGAGAATCCAAGAAAGAAATCGTAAATAACCAAACTTTATCATAATCTGGCAAAACACCAACAGTATCTCCCAAAAACGTAGTCATTGAAGACGGTGATCACAGATTAGTCGCCGGCCCGTTTTTACATTCTACTACAAAACAGTAGCTGGAAATGGAAAACAGCCATTCATGTAACAGCTTTAAAATAACTTGGGCCATTATTTTTGTGATGAATTTTGTTAGGAACGTTTTATCAAACTTGCTATCTCCAAAACGACCGCGTGCGCCTTTAAAAGAAGTTTTTAAAATTCAGTATAAATTAAATGGATGATAATTTATACTGAAGCAGTTCAATTGTAAAATATATTTAGGTTGCCTCCTGGCTAGCCTCCGTTGTGGCAGGTCGCCGAGGCCGGAATTCGGTCTGGAGGACATTATTATTATATTATTATATTTAGGTTGGTAGCATTAAACGCATTACGCATTTTATTAAACGCTAACTGCCTGCGACTTCGTTTGCATAATATGACATTTTCATAACATACATAACATCACTCACGCCTGTCACCCAGAGGGGTAGGCAGAGGCTACAGACTTCCATTTGGCACGATTCTGACACACCTCTCTTGCCTCCTTCACATCCATACACCTACGCATACATGCTCGTCGGTTAAGGGTACTCCTAATTTGGCCCGTTTTCAATAAATCGCCAATTTGGTCGATAAATTTTCGCCTAGGACGTCCCTTTCCGACTCTGCCATTCACTTCTGCACCATAAATTTTCATTGTCACTCTTTCCTCATTCATTCTTTCCACATGACCAAACCACCGAAGCATTCCTTTCTTAATCCTGGTCACAACATCATCTTGCAAACCACACTCTTCTCTTATTACACAATTTCTTACCCTATCATTCAGATTCAGCCCTAACATACTCCTTAACGACCGCATTTCTACTGCGTTTATTCTACTCTCGTGCTTCTTCTGCCACACCCAACTTTCACTACCATACGTTAAAGTAGGGACCAACACAGCATTGTGAATTTCCATACGTGCCTTTTTCGACACATTTTGACTCTTCACAATAGAGTGCAAGGGCCCGTTTACTCTATTTCCCGCATTCACTCGTCGTTCTATATCCTTATCATATCTCCCATCCCTGCTAAATACGCAGCCCAAATATACAAACTCATCTACTTGCTCGATCAACTCCCCTTCTATTCTTATTTCACAAATCGTTTTACTTTCTTCTCTTTCAAAAACCAGAACCTTCGTCTTACTTGCGTTCACTTTCATACCCCTTTCTTTTAATGATCCGTT